ATGTATTGGATGAGCATCTATCTAGGCTACGTACGCCGTATATATACTCCTGTGTGTGGAGGCTTACGTAGCCGTACCGTAGAACTGTGAGGGCTAAATATAGGAACCGTGTTCTATATTAAGGTAGCCGACGCTAGCCGTACCACACTCCGTAGGCTAGCTGGCTAGGAATACGTACTCCGTCAGATAGAGTCGCGATATCATATTAGCGAAGGGGATGACTAAGAAGTAGCGCGAACATCTTGTAAATCCGGTATCATTACATCGGAGAGGTTAAGAATAGAAAAACTGAGCATACATCTTTGCGCTGTTAGTAAATTGAAACAATCGGTCCTATGCACACGATTCCTGTGCGAACCAATTTTTCTAGCTAACCTATTGTGAGTAACTTACCCTCAGAGCCCATCTAAACAAGTAGCAGATCTGGACAAAGCCATTGTGTAGGCCTTCCAAACAACTCCCGCTGAGAAAGCTCTAGTACATGCTGTTGACACAATATTCGGCTTGCTTATCTAGCAGACAAGTACACTGCCCCGCTAAATCTATACACTCGTTTACCACTGTGTGAGAAGCTTCATAGTATTTTCAGCATTCTAAGAAAGAGAGAAGTTCGGCATTTTGGGCAAGTAGTAAACTCGCAAGGCTATCCTTGACACTGTCAACACATTATACGCAGAATGGAAGTGTATCCGCTGTCCCCGGTTTCTATTAGTGCGTTGGGGCCCCACAGACAGTGGCAGGAAAGTGTACGGATATTTATGGCAAGGCACTGTATTTAATCGATTAGAAGGCCAGCCCAAAATACCTTCCCAAGAAACAAGGTTACGATTGCCCGGTGCTATGTCCTGCCCATCACAGTCCACAGAAGTCAAAACTGAGATGAGCAGGGACTCTTTTAAGTCGCCGTCCTGGCATTTACGCACATTTCGCTGGTTAGGCGTCCGAGAGGAAGTCTCTACGATCTTGAAGATCTTAGCCAGGCTCTCCTCCGAGCCGTCCCATTCTCCAGATCGGCAGCTTCTCGGGCCACTCGAACATACCAGGAGGCCTAGGTCTGAAAAGGGTGCGCCCAGTCCCGGGCTCGTTGTGAGATGGTCGATGGAGCAGGACCTGCGGGTGGGAGAGCTGGCTGGGATGTTGAATTCGGCCTAAGATGTGGCGGAATGTACTTATTGCTGTCCGAGATGGACTGTAGAGCAGTTGGAAAGCTCGTGTTCGGCGTTACAGCATTGACAACCTGCTTGATTGTCTCGGGGTGTAGTTGCTTGAACGAGATGAAAGAAGGCGTCAAGACGTCCATGGGTTCTTGCCCTCACTCCTGTAAACAATGCATCGATGACTTCTCTTTCTCCACTAAGCTCTGATTCTAAGTCTCTACACTCTCAAAGCCATAACCACCGCACAAATCTCGACACCATCGTTCTCGAGTCTACTTTGCAAACAAACCCATACCGTGATAAATCTCGCAAATCAAAATGCAGTCCTGGAAGCTGCTCGCATTGTTGCTGCTCGCATTTGCTTCAGCCAGAATATCGTCTCTCGTCCGATGTAAGCTTACGAACCCTTTCAATCTCATTCATCCCTTTTCCCTCGAAATGCCTACCACTTCGTATGCTGGCGAATCTGTTATCAGCACCAATTTTGCGTTCCAGAAATCATGAGGGTATCGGCTAACTTGTTTTCGATTCTAGATCAGAAGGCCATAATCATCCCCAGCACTGCCCACACGACAGAGACGGTCACCGTCACAGTCACGATCATCTCGACCGTTACGAGCAGCCCCTCCGAGCCCGCCAATGTCTCCCCAACGCCTCCCCCTTAAGAGACCTCGCCGCCCCCCGTCGCCTACTGTAAGCTACCTTCCCAACTGGTCATCACATTGCTTGCTTTTTCTGTAACTTGCTCTGCTATGTTCTTTTCCGATCCCTTCTGAAAGAAGTTTTCATTTTCATGCTTTGTGTTCCAGATGGCTAACGAAACGGATAGTCGAAACCATCATCCGCTCTCTCTTCCACATCGTGAGCGACCTCGAAGATCATTACAATAGGGCAGGCGTAGCGGCAGCCATTATTGCAGGCTTTGGGGTACTTGACGCGGTGGTCTTCGGTGGGCTGAATTAAAGGCAGAGGAGTGCTATAGACGTTGCGTTGGCGGCAGAGCGGGATATCGCGCGAAACGCTGAGAAGAGGGAGACAGAGCGAGCTAAGGAGGCGGAGCAGAAGGAGACGGAGCGAGCTAAGGAGGCGGAGAAGAAGGAGACAGAGCGGGCTAAGGAGGCGGAGAGGCAGGAGCGAGAGCATGCCATGGCGGCGGAACAGAAGGAACGAGAGCGAGCCATGACGGCGGAGAGAGTGGAGCATGAGCGTGCCATAGCGGCGGAGGAAGTGCTGGAGAAGAAGTTGGCGAGCTTGGAGAAGATGCTGGAGAAGGACCAGGGCCGAAACTTCGTCGCGGAGATCTTCGAAGAGATAGACAAGAGGTGCGAGGAGTGAGGGGACAGTTTTGAGAGTCCCGGTGATGTGGATCTTTCGCCTGGACGGTCGCGAACCCGTGCTCCTCGGATTAGTACGCTTGTAGGAACGACGAGGAGTATCGTGGGGAGGCATAAGGGCAAGGTGAAGCTCATCGGGCTCTCGGGTTAGAATCAGTCTGCCTAGTCGCCCTTCGTGTAAGGTTTTTCTTGGCGTTGTGGTGTGTTTTTTTGGTGTTTTGGCGGGTTGGGGGTGGGGGTTTTACGTAGAGGCATCTTATCTTCGTCAAGAAAAGCTATATCATCCTCATCCGCAAACGACGACTCATACTGGTCTTGAAATGGCCTATCGTACTCATATTGAAGAGATGGCTCATCCTGGTCTGAAGGGAATATCTGCTTGTTTCAATTTGCTGTGGGAACATGAGAGCGATGTCGCTCAAGGACGCCCGCACGGATATTCTTCTTGCGTAGCAAGCTTGGCTCCACTACCTTGTCAACAGACGCCCTGAACTGTGTATTTGCACCTCTGTGCGCCCCGAAGAAGCAGCGAACCGGCACGTTGCACCCCCAGCAGTGGCAGACAAGGGTACACTGACTTACACTGACAGGTAGCTCCAGGCCAGAAGGAAGATGGATACCATCCAACACGCTCGTGACCACTGGAACGAGCTTCAAATTGATGCAAACGAAGCGGTCGAAGCCTTTCTCGTCGATTGCGGACTATTGACGTTGGGATCGGAAGCCTCGGAGGGTAGTTTTACGACTGCTGAAATTCTCCAAGGCTATAAACCAGTTCCTGCTGGAACAGTAGATGGGTTAAATCTGAAGGAAGCGACCGAGAATCTGAAAGACCGACAAGCTTGCTGTGATTTGGCCTTCAAGAAGCTCCGCGACCATCGGGACTACTATCACCGAAGCCTCGCACCTTACTTCAAGAAACGCGAAGATCGCCCTCGCAAAGAGGTACAGCAGGACTTTGACAATCTCCATCTATCAGCAGGCCAGAAAATCACGGCGGAGATTAAAGCGGCCCAGGAGGCTCTACGTCTGGCGAAACAGAACGCAAAAGCACTGGGAGTATGGATCTCTGCCAACCAAACGTCGCAATTTGGTGATCATCCTGATGATGGTTACCGAGACATAGATGACAGAGCATGGATTTCTGACGTTGGTCGGGAGATCATCGAGAACTGGATGGATGTCGATGGATCGCTTCCACCTGACTTCCCGGGTGCTCCTCCAGATATCGATGACTTCTCTTTTGATCTAGAGAAGCATGTGGACAGTGTAAGCGCCATGGCCGACGAAACACAACGCGAGAAGATAGACGACTATGCTCGCAAGTACAGGCGATATGGGGCGCGAGGCTCAAGTTCCTCCTTGACTTGTTCGTCAGGATCTAGTGACCAGACCAAAAATACGAATGTCGAGGATCTATTTCAAGGGCGACAGGTTGACGTAGGCTTGGCATCAACAATTTATGGACCGACACCAGGAGCCCGCATTCCACGTGCGCGCTGTCCGGAATGCAACTCGGAGCGTCCAGGCTACATTGTCTCGCGAGATCGAGAAAGCAGTGAACCGGCACGTTGGACCCCAAGCAGTGGCAGACAAGTGTACACAGACTTGCAGTGACAGGTCATAAGTCTGTGCACACGCTTTTACCACTGCTTGGAGTACCCTCATGGAATTTCAAAAACCCACGGGCGATGTCAAGCTTCAAGAAGTGCAAATTAGACTGCCTCTTGATTGATTGGCTGCTTACTAGCTGGGCTGCTCCTTACAGTGGTGTCGAGTGAGCAACAATGGAGCCAAGTAGTCATTAAATCCGTGTGCCCAGACTTATGACCTAGTACTGTATGACTTGACACAACCGTGTCTTTCGGAAAGCGTAGAAGATGCTGCAACAAACTGAGAAGCGAGATGGCGAAATCATGAACGAGGGAAAGCGATGAGATCCAGATTGTTTGACAACTAGGTAATGAGCGAAATGGTCAACGGAGAAGAAATCGAAGACCAATGGGACCTGGGCATGTGAACGGAGCGCACGAGCCTTTCAATCGAATCTACCAGACGTCATTGAAGGTGGACGCTCTGAAAGTCATTCCTGTCCGATCTCGCATACTGAAGCTACCAACCGGCGGATTAGTAATTACGGGTGTAGGCGTTGTGACAAGACGTTCAGAAAAGCATACCCACTTAGGACCGAATTTCCAGTGTATGGAGAGACTCTCAAGCAACTTCGATAGTTATATGCACAGCTTGCTCTCATACAACCAGAATTCGGCAGGATTTTTCTTTTCGTTTTTCTTTTCCTTGTTCTTTTTTAAAGGGACGGTGAAGTGTGTGTATACATATATATAATATGTGTATGATGTCAACCAATTAACCACTATCTCAAATGATTTCCTAATCTTCGTCCATGCAAAAAGCTTGTGAAACGTGTGAGCCAACGTGTCCAAATCCCTTCAAAGCACAATAGTGCTAAACTCTGGATATTTCTTGAGAATTTGCGGAGATCCCGGCTTCAGCCTCCAATGCTGAGCGCGAGTAAGATGTAGCTTGAAGCGGTCCGTCAACTGTGGTGCGGAGCACTTGCAGCCGCTGCAACCCGTGATTGTATAAGGTCCCGTAGCTCCGAATACGAGGTCCGGTGGAGGCGCAAATGTGATAGCTTCGTTGAGGCTGTAGGGCCAGCAGATGGTGGTTTGGGATCCGAAATATCCTTCGAGCTCTGAACTGTCACCATCGTCTACTGGTTTGCGGGCTATGATTCTTTCTCGAACGCTTGGCCTGTGTCGTTGTTAGCGTTCCATACTAAAGCGTTGGAGAATATGCCCATACCATGGGAGGAAGTCCCATCGACTTACAGGGCGGCCGATAGGAGTTGTTGGTGGTAGCATATAAGAAGGTATCCATGGGATCTCCTCTACAACTGGGCGGATGAAGTACTGTAATCCAGCACGTGTGATTAGCAGGCGTCTATTTGCAATAACACTTGGCCGACTATCTTAGCCCGCCCATGATGAAGTATTCAATGGTCACTTACTCGTAGGAGGCTGTGTAAGCACCAGTACGCTCCCAGAAAGCTCGCAGGTTCTATCCAGGACGAGCCTTCTCGCATTTGTTCGAAAAGAGCTTTCGAAAGCGGAGAATTGCAGCCAGTCGACGAGAAAAAAGGTGCCATACAAGGTACAGCAGGCAGTATGGTATCCAGTGTATCTTTAGGAAGGTCTTTATACTTTTCCAGTGCGTTCTGAACCATTTGCTCAAACTGGGAACCGGGGCCGTCTCTCCTAGGCATATTTCCTAAACTCCATATACTCCTTAAACCTGGAGAAACATGGATGGTTGGTCGACTGGGAGATGAAGTAACATTCCTATTGCTTGTCCTGATCATTCCGGAGGACGACGTGGTTGAAGGCGTGTCCATTGAGAGAGTTCGAGGGGCGCTCAAGTCCGCGAAATCAAGAGACCCTCTTCCATTGAAAGGCGTTGATGTGTCGTGCACTGATAAGCCATTGCGTCCTAGGTCATCATATATCTCGCCTACCGAGTAGTTCTCTGCTGTTGATGTTGCAAAAGTGTCGAAATTTGACTCGGAGTGAATAACAGACCAGAACGCCTCGTCGCCAAATGCAAGGCTGTCAGCTTGGGTCAGCGGGTCGATGTCGTGAGCTGTATTGAATTCAGGGTTGTGATAGCCGGTGCTTTCTGCTGCACTGGCAACTTCCGGTGAGTTTGTGCTACTGTTTGGGCTCGGAGAAGTGTCCTGAGGGCCAGGGAATCCAGTGGTGTTCTGGCTACGCGACGTCTTTCTTCTCTTGCTGCTGGATAGAACTTCCGTACCTTGGCCGTCGGTCTTATCTTTGGGGGACTTGTCATCCGTTGAGGGGCCCAGACTTCTACTGGGGTCGCTCGATGTACCGCCTTCGCTTTCCGGGAAGCAAAGCCGTCCGATTCTCTCCAACCGAATCCGTAGACGGGCAACTTCCTCTTTCAGTTCTTGGTTCTCGGCAATCTTCTCTTTCAACTCTCGATTTACATTAGTAGCGAGGAGAGCTTGGAGGGCGCTTTCCAGCTCTGCTATACGTTGCTTTGTCTTTTCACGCATGGCACGCTGGGACCTCCGGTCTGACAGTCGCTTGCGTTCTAGCCGTGACGCTGTGTCTGGGGACTCATGTCTCTTGGGATCATCTCTCTTTGACTTCTTCCGTCTCTTGTCGCTCGATGCAGCGGCGTTACTATCGGCACCTTGCGCTTGCGTTGATGGACTCATCGTGGCGATTGGACGCTGTGTCGGGGTACCTCGACGATTAATGACGATAATCCGATGTCTCACAGGCCGAGAATTACAGCGCTCGAGCTTGAAATGAGACGGTCAAAGTACACGATGCAGTGTTGTTATGGGAGGAAGCGTACAAGTGCGACAGAGGAGGTTGAAATTGAGGCGTCCGGGGACGCGACGTCCGGACTAACCGGACGAGTGAAGGGCCGCCCCGCAGCTCCACGTTTTTGCCCCACCCCGGAATTTGATCGTGCATAAGTCTAGGTATATTCACTCCATGCCTAAATCTGGCCCATTAGGTATGGAAGGCTTATGAGGGTTATATTCTCTAGCTCGTACCTGAAGATCTGGCCGCAATGGCAGTCCCTTGATTCTCATCGTAAAGAGATGTCACTTTTCTGACTCGGTGTTGCCTGAATCATGAGTTGCCCCTTTTGGAGTGTCTCTAATCTCCCCGCAAATTGTTCCGACTTCAAGTTGCATCTCTCAACGTCCGATGAAAAAGATTGGTATTTACAGTACATACTACGGTACAGGCAATCAAGTCCTCCTCACATTAACCCTCAGGAGCTCCCAATTCTCGCCTTTGCACTTTCAAAAACAGAGAGCAGAGCCTTTGTCAATCCAAAATGCTCCCCAGTCCTCTGGTCTACTGCGGCCAGCACTCCTGCAATAGCCGACAGCTTCAGTAAAGTTGCAATGAAGGCAAATCGTCCCTTCCCGACCTTCTGATCTTCCATAGTCTCGCCCCGTTTGAAAGCCCCCTTGTTTGCGACTTTCACTTTCCCAATATTCTTGATATCATAAGGCGGTTGTAGGAAGCCCAGGAGCTTGGCCAAGAAACCAGGGGGTGAGACTACCGTTCGCGTATGAGTGAAGGCGTCGAATCCATGCTTGCCGTGATAGTATCCAGTCCCAGACTCCCCGACACCGCCGAACGGGGCAGTAGGTACACCAGCGTGAAGCATTACCTCGTTGATGGTTACTCCGCCGGATTGGGTGTGGGATATTACTATTCGAAAGATCAGTCTGCGATGACTTCGGCTATACTTGCTTTGAAGCACTCACTCTCGTCAATTTCGGCCTTGTTCTTGCTGAAGATGTAGATTCCGAGAGGATGACCGAGCGTGTTGATAGCTTGGTATGCTTTTCGGAAGTTGTCTTTGATTACTGGCAGAATTGGACCGAAGAGCTCTTCTTCGAGCAATGGGTCTTTGGCAGTTAGTACTTTGTCCTATCACTTCGGTCTAGAACGGTTGCGCTACCTTTCATCGTCACATCAGTGATCACAGTCGGAGAGATGTGAAGTGTGTCCCGATTGGAAGTTCCACCCCTCACGATCTTTCCCCTAGTCCTATCCATCATCCCCTTCAAGCGGTCAAAATTTCGTGCGTTGATGATCGTAGTCATGTCTTCCTTCCCGCTTTTCAAAAACTCTTCAAACCAGTACTCCAGTTTCGCGATAAATTGGTCGTGGACATTCGGATGCACGAACACGTGGTTTACCGAAAGGCAAATCTGCCCTGCGTTCAGGTATTTGACCCATGCGATCTTCCTCGCCGCCAAATCAAGATCCGCGGATTCGCAAACGATAGCCGGACCTTGTCCGCCAAGTTCCAGGACGGTAGGCGTAAGATGCTTTGCCGTAGCTGCCGTGATGAAGCGCGCAACTTTCGATGATCCAGTGAAGAAGACCTCATCGAATTTGTGTTCCAAGATCTTCCCTGTCTCCCGGGCGCCTCCAGTGACTATCCGGATGGCGTCCTGGTCCAAGTATTTCGCGATCATCTTGATCATTAAATTCTGCGAGGCCTCTGCCATCTCAGATGGCTTCAGCATGACCGCACACCCTGCCGTCACGGCTGCAATGAGCGGCTGAATAGTCAGAGTTATCGGGAAGTTCCATGGGCCGATGATGAGTGCTACCCCTAGTGGCTCCTTTCTAATGTGGGCGCCTGACAGCCTTCCCATGATTAATCCGGCATCCGGGATCTCGTCCGCAGCCCATTCCTCCAGATGCTTCAAATGGTCGAGGACGTCATTCTTCATCGACATGAACTCGACGAAGTGGGTCTCAAATTCGTGTCGGTTGAGGTCCGTATTCAGGGCTTTCACCATTTCCGCCTCATTGTCCTCAATCATCCACCATATCTGCTTGAGCTGCCATTTGCGCCATGCTAAGGATTTCGTCTTCCCGGATCGGAAAGTCCTCTGAATGGTCTCGTAGGCGTCTTCGAATTCGGCGTCGGTTGTGTAGGTGGACATACTGCTCAAACGATAAGAAGTAAACAACGCGAATGGTGGATATTGTTCAGGGCTAGAAAAACGCGAAAGTTCGTGGTTGTCAGTTGACGCGTTAAAACGGAACGGAAATGAGTTCCCGAATTCCGAGCGCGGAAAAAGAAAGGAGAGTGGGAGGAGTTCGAGATAAACCGGGCTAGCGACGTGTGATATATAGTTGGCTTACGAGATCGACAAATTGGAGGTTATCGCATGAACTATTCAGCCTAACGGCTCACGACAAAAATGAGTAACTAAATAAATGTACTGACGCGGGCGGGTGGGGATAGTGGGGATGCACTGGTTCCCGAGGCGTCCTCGTCAGCAATTTCCCTGTAAGAAGAGGACACTAAGAAAAGCAAAGATCAATGCAAACCTCCTCACTTATACATTAAATAGCTGTATTGGACCATAAAACTACTTGGTTTTCACTCCAAGCATATAATTCCGTTCCGAGAATGCGGACAAATGGCTAAATATTCATCGTGGATGTACCTGTAGACGTAGACACATTGTCCCATATCTTGGATCTAGATAATTTCAGATATCAAAGAGAATTTACTTCGGTTCCTTAAAGTCCGCGTATTGTATCTTGTGGTCGCTCGCCAGTGAAATACCTCACTCTGACGCTCGTGGGCACATGATTCAAGCTCTCCTGGTCACGTGAAAACACCGAGTCACGTACCCCATAGTTGAGGTTAAGGATTTCTTCCAACTATCTTTACATGAATAGTTATAACTTGATTACGAGGAATTAAAACATGTTGCTCACATGCATCTTTCAGAAGTTTACATCCTATATAGAAATTCGTCAATGCGATGAAGGACTTTAGACAGTTGCGAACAGGCGTGCACACTTCCATCCGACGGCGACTCTTTTCAAGCAACAAACGCGTAGCTACCAAGCATAGCATACACTTCCCAAGCACTGACATACTTTTCTCCTTCGAGGATTTGAGCGACCATCTGAGCGTTGCGGATGTAGAAGTGGCTGTTTATATGGTGTAACTGTTTGATAACCCAGGCCCTCATACCTGGTACTGCATTGGATAACCCCGCGACATAGAGGGGAAAGATGAGCATATAGCAGTCAATCAGGTGGTCATGCGTGTGAAGATGACCGGTATGCACTGGAATATCCAACGACGCCAAGGGTCTTCGTCGAGCTGCGCCATTGCAGTCGACGTAGGGCGGCACGCTGGCACATATCTCGCGAGCCAGTATCTCAATGTTTTCTTGGGCCACTGCTATCCGTGGTGAGTGCTCAGGGGTCGCCAGACAGTGCTCGATGAGAGAGCTGATGACAAGAATTCTCATGACTCGGAATAGGTTCCGCGCCAGGCATATTTTTGGGTCGGAGTAGGTATCATATTGAGATCCAAAGACTCTCTCTGACGTGCAGTCCGTAAATGTGGTTGTGCGGTCCCATCTTGCTGGTAATTCGAGGTCTAAGGCTAATAACCGTACGTCGAGCTCCGTGGCCGCTCTGATGTATTGCTCATTGGATAGCACACCTCGTGTAGCATCGTTTCGGAATCTCGCATAATCAACCATCACTTCCGACAGTCGTATCTTGGGGTCTTTTGTGTCAAGGTGTTTGGCAATATGAGCTTGAATCGCCATCAACTCATCAGATACCGGTGAACCACTACAAAGACAGCTCATGAGGGAGTTCGAGCTGAGTCGCAATAAAATGTCGAAGTCAGAGGGGTCTTGAAACTGCTCCAGGCCTCGCAGTTTGACAAGAGAAAGGGCCCCATTTACATGACTTGTCCATGACTTGTTGTTTCGAGGCTCGATATCGGTGATCTTTTCAAAGAGATCGAGAAGAAGTGACGCCAGTAAAGTAGCCTCTTTAGTGGCCTCTGTAGGGATTTGGAGGATCTTGTTGGTCATTCGTAATGCTGCAACATATCTCTCTCGAGCGTTCGCTAGTGCAGTGTCTGAGTTGACCTGGTGCCATAGATACGCTAAGCTAACGGCCTCGATTGCCAATGACAGGTGTTCCGGTGAGTCCGTCGGGTGAGAATACGGCCTAAGGAAGTTCCAACATTTGGAAGTAATGTAGTAGGCAAAGAACGCGTCCCGGGCTTGCAAGTCTATCGATAGAGGGAGAAACTGAGGGGATGCATTTTTCAATGAATATACTTTCTTCGCAACGGCCAGGCTTTCGTCCCGAATGCGTAATTGCTGCGTATTGCGGTATCCCGAACAAGCTACACTAGCCCTAACGCATTGGCTGCAAGTTGGAGTCTGAAGATCGCACTATCATAACGTTCAATGTTTGCTCCGAAAAGGGCTATTGCCAGGATTACGACGCACCTTCAATCTCCGAGCTCTACATCTTTCACAGGCCTTTGAGGGTCTACCGCGGAACACCATTATGGCTGCTTAGGGTCGTTGCTGTAGGAACATCCTCCTGGGATGATGAGATGGTGGGTGATGGAATGAGGTTCGTAGCACGCCGTTCTTTGAGGAAACAGGGGCCGACTGGAACAGTGGGTCACGACGCCAACGCTATTCTATGTTCGGGATGCTTTTCGGAGTGCATGAAGGCAGCTCATTGGCTAGAAAGAGAGACTTGATGCATGACTACTCCATTTACGGCATGTTTCTCGACAGACAGCATGAAATCATCGCCCATTTGCGACTTGTGATCTTAAGCTATATAAGCCTCAGATTTTATCTGGGAGAGAAATAGTCTAGGCTCGGAGATGCCGCAAGAGGCTTGATGAGACGCTACATCACATACAGCATGCACTTCGACCGCGAGATCGGCTAAGATATATGAGTTTCGGCCTGGTAGCAACTTTGAAGAAGTCCTCGGTTGATTCATTCCCACCACTAATTACTATCTACACGTTTTCTTCCTTCCAAGGTTCCTCCGCTCTCTTCCCGGCTTCAACATAACTATACACCAATCCGCAGCACACACACCATTGTCAGGCTATCACAATCCCCATAATGGCCTTCCTCGCGGCCTTCATCAAACGCCAATTCATCTCCTACCCACCCATCCCGACCACGTCCTTCTCAGGCAAAACCGCCATCGTCACCGGCAGCAACGTCGGCCTTGGCCTCGAAGCCTGCCGCTACCTAGTCCGCCTCGGGGCATCACAAATTATAATCGCTTGTCGAAACACCGAGAAAGGAGAGGCAGCAGCGAAAGAGATTCAAGCCTCAACATCATGCCCACCCGATACCCTCAAAGTGTGGCAACTCGACATGAGCTCCTACGCTTCCGTCCAAGCCTTCGCCGATAGAGCTAAGGCCGAGCTGCCTCGTCTTGATATACTTCTCCTGAACGCGGGCTTGGGAACAATGAAGTTCCGGATGGCCGAGGGCCTGGAAGAAACGATCAACACAAATGTCGTTTCGCTCTCGTTGCTTGCGTTCCTCCTTCACCCGAAACTTCATGACACAGCAGTCAAACACGACAGCAAAACACACCTCACCGCGACAGGCTCCGAGCTCTACGAGGTCGCCAAATTTGCGGAAAGCAAAGCACCGGACGGCCAGATCTTCGCGAGTCTCAGCGACCAGAGCAAGGCTAATATGCTCGATCGCTATAACACTTCGAAGCTGCTTCTGATCTTTGTTATCAAGCAGATCGCTGCTTTGGCTCCTCTTGAATCTAGTAAAGTCATTGTCAACTGTGTGGGTCCTGGGTATGTGGTTTTCGTATACATTCTTCCCCATCAAATGCTGACATTGAATCTTGTAGATTTTGTCAAAGCGAACTCCATCGCGACTACACCAACGCCGCCCTTCGCTTCCTCATAAAGATACTCGCTCGTCCGACCGAGGTGGGCTCGCGCACACTAGTGTATGGTGCCGGCGCAGGGCCGGAAACCCATGGCCAGTACTTGCCAGATTGCAAGATCACGGCGACGAAGGGGTTGACAAGTGGGGAGGCTGGAACCAAGTTGCAGAATCGGGTTTGGGTGGAGTTGAAGCAGAAGTTGGAGGTCATTCGCCCGGGTGTTACTTGGTTGGCTTGATTTTGCTGATACTTTGGGATTATGTGCGATGAATGAATTGGGCGGGAGATAGAGGAGATGAGTTGTAATAATCGAGACAGAGACATTAGTAATGTTTCGGGTACACACGGTACAGTACCGGCACAGAATTCTGCACACCTGTTTGCCACTGTCTGAGACGCTTCGGTGCCTTATTACACACTCAGTTGAGATGTAAATTTCCGGGGAGTGCGAATTTAAGCGCTGCCAACCGCTTCTAATCAGCCTACGTTGCCGCTGTTCGAGGTGCTTCAACATGTTTTCGGAATCTAGCAAGCGGTTTCAGATGGAAGTGAATGCGCAAATGCATGTCCTAGTATTGTACTCGCAAGATTGAATCAGAAACGTATGCAAGGTCATGGTATATTGAGACAAATTTTGTTATTCATACTCCCCGCTTACTTCCAGAGAAGCACCGGCTTGAGTGTCTTTCCGGAACGCATATCCGCAAGAGCAGTCTGATACTCAGCCACAGGATATGTCTTAACCAGCTTCTTAATTGGAAATCTCCCCGCAGCGATCTCACTAGCGAGATACGGAATGAACTAAAAATCACGCAGTCAGCACCACACTGCCCAAATCGAATAAATCGAGCACTTACCTCCGGTGGATTACTATCCCCCTCCGTACATCCCACATACGACTTCCCCTGACTCATTAGGCTAGTCGCATCCACCGCAACCTTCTTATCCCTCCCCGTCACCCCAACCGTTGCCGCCTTCCCTAGTATTCCCAGTACATCGATCATCAGCTCGATCACCGGCACAACACCCGTCGCATCGATGCCATACTGCACCCCTCCCGTCATCGCCGTCAATTTTCTTATCTCCTCTGCGAGGTTCTTGTCGTCGCCTTTGAAGACATGCGTCGCGCCCAGCTCTTGCGCGAGATCGAGCCGCGACTCGACCAAGTCGACTGCGATGATGGGGGATGCGCTAACGTTCTTCGCTGCGATCAAGGCGCTCAATCCTACAGCACCGGCCCCGAAGATGGCGATGCTAGAACCCTTCTTCACGGCTAATGTGTTGATGACGCAGCCGGCACCGGTTTGAATACCGCAGCCTAGCGGCGCGAGGAGGGCCAGGTTGGTGTCTTTTGGGACTTTGATGAGAGAGTTCTCTTGCACAATTGCGTGCGAGGCGAAGCTGGACTGGCCGAAGAAGCCCCCGAGGACGTGGCTTGGATCCGTTGAGTCTTGCGTGTTGTAGAAAAAGGTTCCGTCGGTCAGGCGGCGGCCGCCCATGTTATACGGGATGAAGTTCTGGCAGTAGGCTGGGTGTGCGGAGGAGCAGGCGGTGCATGCGCCACAATGGTTGAAGGTGAGGAGCACGGACTCCCCAGGTGAGAATTTGGAGGTCAGGTCGCTGCCGACTTCGAGGATGGTGCCCGCGCCTGGGTGGGATTAGCGGAGGGTCGGATAGGGGCGTTGAGAGATTCATCTCCAATGAAGGAGCCAGTTCATAGAACCTACCTTCATGTCCTAAAATATACGGTACAGGAAACCCCTCTTTCATGCACGTGAGATCTGTGTGGCAGATCCCCGATGCGTGCATCTCCACCAGCACCTCTTTCGGCCCCGGGGCAGTGACATTGAGCGTCTCGAGCTCTAGCGTCCCATCGTACTTCCTCAATACCAATGCTCTTGTCGTCCTTGAAGCCGTCATTGTACGGTGTTAGAGCGTACGTATTCAAGTCACGTGCAGAAGGGAAAGACGGCAGGCAGTCTAGTTACGTACCTACAACATGAGGGCATAACGTTAGCATCTTAACTACTTGAGATCGGAAATGCATGTATAGCCTACTGTGATACGATCCTTGGCTTCTAGAATGAACTCCCCACGGGGTAGTGCGGGGGAACGTGTGGGTCGGGAAAATCGGAACGTCAGAGGAGTCTGACCAGATGGCGGGCTGGCTGAGGTGACTAAATGGAGCACGAAACTCTTGAAATGCGGGGCCGACCAGATATTTTAGAACCGAGTCAGTTGAGCTTGACTCGGTCGTGCGTCAACGATCGGGCATGTGCATGGCTGTAGAGAGTTTTGAAAATTCGAAAATATGAATGAAATAGCACAGGATTTCGGCCAGAATGGTTTCGAACCCTTTCATGAAACTTACACGCTTTATATACCATTTGAGTGATCTTGATAGAAACCTGATCTAACCTCTCCTAAATCATGCCAGCGGCATACTTCTCTGCGCTGAGAAATCTGGCTGGGATATCCACATATTTGGCCCTGATGTAGTCCGCAAACCCCTTTCCTAGCCCATCAAGCAAGGGAGTACTGCTAATACCCCGGCCTAGAGGGCCATACACCACGAAGTGAACCGCCTTGATATTCGGGAACTCGACTCTCTCCAGGTAATAATCGGGGGTCCAGTCATCGCCAATGAGCTCCTTCATTTTCCCGCTTGTCAGCAAGCTACGAAGCCAATCATACTCCTCATCGGTGTGGACGAAAATTCCAATGTTGACGTTTGCACCCTTGTCGCCAGATCGGGCAAGTGCAATATCACCAAGAGGCTTCGAGATCGTTTCTCCAAAGCTGCTCAGGTCCACCGGGTTCGTAGGTTCGTAGCTAACTCGTTGTGTGAGAGGCTCCGTCTTCGAGGGATGTCCAGAGTCGAACTTCTTCACTGAGAAGTTCTCCGCTGTGGCTATTTTGTCGAGGATGTGAACACCCTCTTGGAGTTTGGCTTGCTCAATCACTCCCGGATAGTAGGTGAGGAACTCCTTGGGTAAAGCGGTGCGGAAATCCATACTTCCGTGTGCTCCAGAATAATGTTGCATTCCGTTGTACATCTGAGCTTTTAATAGCCCGTAGAGAGTCACCTGTTTTTCTGATTGCGCGAAGATGCGGACTTGCGTCGTGCCTCGAATTTGGCTTTTTGGATTCGTCTCCGGGACTCCGATTCTACACCAAAGTATTAGCCCGATTTCTACACGAATATTTGCACAGATATATGTACCTTTGGAATTCGAGGATGTCAAAATCGTCAAGTTGGCCAGTTTCGCGTAACCTCTTCCTGATTTGGTATTCGTGGATGTCATACTTCCGCCCGATAGACTCTGGGGTTCCGGTTGCGGCCATGAGCATCTCGCATTGGTATCCTCCCTTGTAGAAAACAGCTAGCTTCGTGGTTGGTGGAGGAGGTAGACCTTTCGTGCCCGAAACGAAGACTCTACGAAATCTGTCAGCGTATTTTTCACTATACTGATGGTGGCTAGGACAAAACCCACCTGTCCTTGCTGATTTCCTTTATTGAGATGTTTTTCAAATCTGCCTTTACACAGCTGTTGAGATAATGCTCGCCCTGGATTTCGTAGAGCAGCTGGCACCTGATGGTATCCTCGGTGACGAATCCGTTCTGCTGGGGATGCTTTGTGATAACGCAGTCACCGTTCGCGTGAATCTCTGCGATTGGGAGAGCGATATTTTCGAGTTCCTCGGTAGCATACTTTTCGAATCCAGAGAAATTAGCTCCGGTGGCATATGCGGAGCACTCAATCAGATGGCCAGCTACCAAGCCTCCAGCCAGCTGATCAAAGTCGGTATCGCTCCATTGATGCCACCATTGCGCTATACCGATCACTGGTGACGCGTCCGCAACTCTTCCGCCTGGATATCTAGTGAGTACGCATTCGTGACGTGGTGCCATAAAGCTTACACATAATGAGGTCCGCGCCCTCGTCCAAGCCCTTCTTGATAGCGCGAGCTCCTAGATAGGCGTTGGCGCTCACAATTGGCTTATTGGGGTTTCCGACGAAGTTGTTCGTATCTTTGGCCAGCTTGATGTTCGGGTTCAACTCGTCCAAATGGGGAACGAGGCCGCTCTCTTTCAAAATATCATCAATGCTGTCCATCAAGTTGTCGCCCACTACGTAGGCCACTGTGAGGTCATATCCTTTCTCGTCAATCTTTTGAGGTTAGCTAAAGAGCTTGTGTCATCTGAAAATGAGGCTAATCTAACAAGTTTTTTGACCTCCTTCGCAAGGCCTGCGGGATTAAGGGCGCCGGCGTTCAGCACGACTTTGATTTTGTGCTTATTGATCAATTCGAGGGTCAACCTGAACCCGTCCAATGCCGTTTGCTCATATCCGGGGTGTTTCCCAGCGTTGTACGCTTCCGCGTTGTTGGCCAGATTGATCTCTATGGTGAAAATGCGGTCAACATTTGGATGTCAAGTCGAGGTATACAACGTGAATTTATTTTTTGAATAGTAATAACAAGTCTAAGGGTGACATACCCGCAAGGTAGTCGCCAGTGATCGCGTCGATGGGCCCATTATTCGCCTGATTGAACATGAACTCGCCAGGGTCGCCTATGGATAATTAGATGCTCTGTCACTCAAACACACCACAACAGAAATTCGAGAGACTCCACGTACAGTTTGCTCCCGAGCAATCGGCGACGCGGACCGGACGTTTTGCTCCATTTACAGCCATGGTTGCTTCGAATATTCAAGATAGCCCGCAGAAAAGTTGGACGCGACCTTCTTCGCCAACCTCAAACACATCCCCGAAGTCTTCTTAAGCATTTCCGGCGCGATAGAGTGATGTGGTGCGGTGCAGCGGGACTCGATCCTGGCCGCGGTTAGCAGCGTGACACCCCACTAGGAATGTGGGACTCGGAAACCTACTGACTGTACCGATGCGCTGTAATCCGAATCGCCATTGTTGTCGCAAGAACTTCAGAGAATACAAGAGTGCGGGAACTCGGCATCTTAAAATGCCTCGCGGCGTGCTGTGGACTTGATTCAATGCGAAAGCCATTTGGCTGAAGGAGGGCTCCAGCGCTTCCATTACAGCTGTCCCCCGCATTGAAGCTAACCTGCGGAGGAGCTACCCCAGACTGTGGCATTAAGCATGGACTTTCCCCGCGTCGTTCATTGGTGGCCGCGGAGCAGAGATACGCTTTTGGTGAGGGAAAAGTCTGACGGGGACGCGTCTGACAGCGCCCTGAGAACGCCGGCGTGACATGAATCATGAATCAAACATTAGACCGCAGCCGAGTGGACGTCTGCTGACGGTGGCTTGGGGTCGATGCATAAACTCCGAATAACTTCATAGTTGTTCATAAGATGAAAGCTCCCCTGGATAAGTGAATGGCTCCTGAGTCAGCTGTCCTGATTCAGCTAACATAGCCACATCACCGGAAATTCTTCGGGCAGCCATCCATCCGTTCAATAGAGGGATAGTCGAATCCAGAATGCTGTATAATTGGAGTTTTAGGTATCGCTTTCCATTATGTCTAATTTTCTCTACTATCATCAGTCTCTTCGTTGCGAGTCTACATCATGTCTTCCAAAAAGCCTTTCAGAGTGGTTATCATCGGTGGGAGTGTCTCTGGCCTGACCATGGCACACACGCTCGAGAGAGCGGGTATCGAATACGTGCTTCTTGAAAGAGGTTCGGAGGTCACGTTCAATGGTGGCGCTAGTATTGGATTACAGCCTCATGGGCTCCGTATCATGGACCAAATGGGAATGTATGAGGACATTCTCGGGACGACCGCACCAATGATACGAGCGGACCACCGGCATCCAAGCGGTGAACCTATTGCGCAATCAGAATTCATGCTGCAGATAGAAGAAAGGTATCAAGAAGGGTGGGCTTCGTGACTTGGAGCATCGCTGATTGCTGCGACCAGACACGGGTATCCAATCTTGTTCTTCGAGCGAGCAGAGATGCTCGAGATCCTGTACAATCACTTGCCTGACAAACCCAAAATTCTGTGTTCAAACAAAGTCGTGAATATCCAAAGCACTCCAGAATATGCTACTGCAACCACGGAAGACGGTACAAACTATACCGCAGATATGATCATTGGCGCAGATGGTGTAAACAGCACCACGAGAAAGATGATGTGGAAGATGATGGCGGACACAGATCCCGATCTTGTTCAGAAAGAGTCCACATCAATGTTCTCAGATTACTCCTGCACCTTTGGAGTCTCAATCTTCGACAGCGAAGATCCAGACCTGCGCCCAGGTGTCAGTCATATCAACTACGGGGAAAAGCAATCGCATATCTGCATCATATCCACCCGGAATAGGAAATTCTGGTTCTTAATTCTGAAACATGACAAAAGATACTATGCTCCGAACATTCCACGATATACGAATGTAGATCTTGAGGCTTCGGTCCTGAAACATAGCGCGATCCGGGTGACCGAACACTCTACACTCGGAGATTTATGGAAGCATAGGTCAAAGTGTACCATGGTGTGTCTTGAGGAGGCCATGTTTGATCGATGGTCCCATGATCGTCTGGTGCTGCTCGGAGATTCAGTACACAAGGTTACTCCCAACGCCGGCCATGGCGGAAATACTGCGATTGAAAGCGCAGCTGTCCTCGCAAACTTTCTCTACGAAGCCAAAATGGGAACTAGACAAGGGTCATCATTGTCCCATGAAGGCCTGTTGGCCATCTTTCAAGAGTATCAATCAAGCCGAGAGGTCAGGGTTGCCAATGCATGTCAGAAATCATCTGCAGCGACGCGACTCCAGGCAATGGACAATTTCTTGTGGAAATCAGGCGCGCTCCAATTCGTTCCCATGCTCGGCGAGGATATGGAAGTCAACGCGGCCTCGGCACTGATTATGGGTGGAGAGCCGCTCAAGTTCCTTGAGTATAAAGGGAAGAATGGCTCGATTCCATGGGATGGTTGGGACCTAGCTACGCTGGCTGACTCTGAAAAGAGATCGTTCTTTGACTCGGTGCTGGGCTATTCCATATATCTTGCCCTGCCATTAGTCTTACTCTGGACACTGCGGGAAACGTCAGTCTGGATATCACCTGTTTTGTCAGCGGCAAACGACTTCAACGGAACGGCATCGAGCGAAACAAGAAGCATTCAGGGCTCTCTCACTCATAACAGCTATTTCCTGTCTACGGCTACCTCGAAGCCTTGGTGCTTGATTTCGGCGTGCGTGGAGATATTATCAATTGGCTTGTTGATGGCTGTGGAAGGATTTCGGGCCAGCGAGCCATGGAAGTTCCGCCTCGAGTAAGTCTCCTCCGTCCTAGTATTTGCGTATCTAAGCAAGCTGTCAGTGTCTTGGCTGCTCTGGGCGCATTCCGCTTTGGTGGTCTTGGAGTGGTCGGTGCGCTATATTTCTTCGCGCACGGTGTGGAGAGCTATATATCACCCAGACCAGATCCTCGTGGGCATGTCGTCCCGTTATCAGTGGCTAGAGCTCTCCCGAAGGCCTTTCTTACCAGCATAATAGTTACGCTCGTGCTAATCGGTAAGCTGCCCGAAAGAGTTCTCCGTGTCAACCCAGGATCGTCAGAATACATCCTGGAAGCACTGATACAGGTCCTACCGGTCCTGCCCTCTCTATTAATCCAAGTATTCACGATCTTTGGTCCGTCTGATGCTGGAAAACCGATGATGGGCCATGCGGACATTGAAAACCTCCAAGTCGCATACGTAATATCCGGGCTGATTTCGGCGTTAGCCCATGGCGGCGGTCTGTTGTTTGGTGTCGTAACCTACGTCACGCAAGCAAAAAGCAACTTCAATGGAAGGTGGCTCGTTGAAATGCTCCTGGGGGCTACCGGTCTCAACGGCGAATTACGGTCCACGTATGTCTACTTTACAGCCGCTTCCATCCTTTGGGTATTCTGGTGCTGCAGATTGGTCATTCCCGTGGAGTCTCGCACCATAGGCTTCAAGTTGAAATTGGCCCTGGCTATTGGAGCGAGCGTTGTGACCGTTGGACCAGGCGCAACGGCTTCTTTTCTTTGGCTATGGCGGGAGGACAAGACGCGCTGTGACAAGTCCGCCGCACTAAGGCTTCAGAAGAGCCTTAACAGACACGACTGGTTGTCAGCCGAAACGAAGTAATGAGAGAGATCTGAAACATATTAGAGCGCTGACGGTGATGGGAAGGAGAGGTTGAAACGTCGACTTATATTACATACACCTAGTCTTACCCTTGTAAACATACCTTATCGTGAACCCAGAAGCTGCCAATAAGCCACAGTGAAGATCCCCGCGAACCCCTTTGCGCCACTAACAATGCTGGATGCAAATTCAAGGTTTTCCAAGCGTGCGTTGCGCGAAGACAAACCTAAGAGCATCGTTGATTTGAAACCCACCATTTAGACCTCACACCGCGTCCCGCGGCCCCAGGAGAGACCAGAAAGAGTCCTGCAGATTCCGCAGATGAGGAACGGTACGCCAAAGACGGAGATTTAAGGTCTATCTTCAGCGCCCTTAAAATCTACCTCAAGTTTCGCTCAACTTCCTAGGATTTGGAACCATGACAATGGCGTCTATCTTCTTTACAATTGCTGCGTAACGTACTCCACAAGCGAGCGGCCCACCCAAGCGAGTGGCCCACCTCATCACCGGAACGCGCTCCGTTAACTTTCAACCACCATGCCTCAAC